TATATATATATATATATGTGTGTGTGTGTGTGTATGTGTGTATGTGTGTATATCTGTGTGTGTATCTGTGTGTGGGTATGTGCATGTGAGTGCAGGTGCCTGTGGAGGTCAGAAGAGGGTTTTGAGCCACCAGAGCTAGAGTTACAGGCAGCTGTGAGCCATGAGATGTGATGAGTGCTGGGTCCAAACTCAGGTCCTCTGCAAGAGCAGCATGTACTTTTCCATTCACTAGCATTTCTTTTAGAAATGTGATAATTGGGCCAGAGAGATGCTTCAGCTGTTAAAAGCTAGGCTCACAACCCAAAATATAAGAAATGTGATTATTGGGAGGAAAGATAATATGTATGTCTTGTAGGTATTGCATTTCTTTTTATAGTTTACCTATTATTAGCTTTTATTCAGTTTTTTATTTGGTTGTCTTTCATTGATTTGTAGAAGCCCACTTATAACTTATATTGTAGATGTTTTTGTTTATAATATCTTTTGTTTTATTTTTCTGTAAACATTTTTAGTTGATTTATTTGAGATTGGGCTCATTTAGTATATATTGAGATTGATACTGATATATATATATATACAGTATATATTTAGTATATATTGAGATTGATACTTATATATATATATAATACAGTATATATATAGTATATATTGAGATAGATACTGATATATGTACATACAGTATATATTTAGTACATATTGCGATAGATACTGATATATGTACATACAGTATATACTTAGTACATATTGAGATAGATACTGATATACATATATACAGTATACTGCCGCCATCGGTGTAGGGATTGAGGAGTAGGTGGAGTAGGGAGAGAGAAGGAAGGTCCTTAGGGAGAAGGGCAGCCGTGCCGAGTGCAGGGCAGACTCTGCTGTACGTCTGTGCTCACTGCTACCAGCCGCTTCATTCACTGAATGCTTGGTTTCTTTAGTCTGTAGTGTAAAAAACAAGGTGAAACCAGGACTGTAATGATCATGCTTTTACATTTTGTTTCTTTTTCTGCCTGCTTGCATGCATGCGCGCGCGCGTGTGCGCGTGCGTGTGTGTGTGTGTGTGTGTGTGTGTGTGTGTGTATGTGTGTGTGTGTGTGTGTGTCTGCCAGGCGTACGCGCGTGTGTGCCATAGTTTAGGTGTAGAGGTTAGAGGACAGTGTGGAGTTGGTTCGCTCCTTTCGGTGTGGGCTCCAGGGATCGAACTCAGGTCCTTAGGCCGACAGCAGGTGCCTTTACCCTCCAAGCCACCTCGCTTGCTCCCTAATTATCAACCTCTCGTTTTGCTGTCTCCGTGGAGTACCTGCATGATCTCTGTCCTTTTCTTCTTCTTTCCTTTGTTTGTGCTTAAGCCCCCCTGTTTGAGTGAAGAATCACTGTGTAATTCTACAAAGTGACACTGATTAGAAACTGTCATTTCCTCCAGAAGCAATCAAGTAGTCAGCCTCAAGCTCAGTTCTTGGTAAATGATACATGTGATTGTGGCTTTCCTTATTGTCCGATTCTTCAGCACTTGACACAGATGTCTTGAGTTTTAGAGCCAAGGTGTCCATTCGATAGGCTGTGTTTTAGTCACTTACTTTTGAATCTTATTATTATTATTAGTGTGTGTGTGTACACATGTGTGTGTGGGTGCACATATGCCACACACGTGGAGGTCAGAGGACAACTTTCAGGCGTCCTTTACATGGGTCCTGGAGACTGAACTTGGTTTTCCTCGCTGAGCCATCACATTGGCTCCCTGTTGGTGTGTTTATTTGTTTGGTTATTTTGTATCCCAGACCAGTCGAAACTTGCTGTGTAGTTTCTTGAACTGGTCAAGGCTGGTCTTGAACTCCTGATGCTCCCGCCTCTACCACCTGGTTGCAGACATATGCCTCCAGCCTGGCAGCAAGATTTTTTTAAACTTAGATTTAATTAATGAATTAGAACTTTTTAATATAACAGGAGATCTGCAAAGGAAGATATGAAATCTTATACCTTTGTTTATAAACAGTTTACAGAAGGGGGTGTTTCAGTGACTTGAGTGAATAATAGTTCAAAAATAAAGTGGAGAAGCTTTTTTGCTGAGCCAAAATGATAATAGATGCATGTTGAAGCTTTATAAAGGGTAGATGTAATGAATTCCATTCCACTTACCTGAAAACAGATGAGATGCTAGTGAACTGTCCAGGATCGCACAAGTAGAATGCACTAGAGCACAGATTCAGACCAAGGCTCCTTGACTAGAAGTCTGTTCTGTTCACTTTCTTCTCTATGTAGTTTCTTCAGAACTCAGTTGCAGAAAGGTAGGGAGCTGGGCGTGGAGGTGCACACCTGCATCCTCAGTACGGGGGGTGAGGGCAGAAGCAGGTAATCTCTTAGGAGTTGGAGACCAGCCTGGCTTCCATGGTGAGTTCCTGGACAGCGGGGTTACGTAGTGAGACCTTGTCTCCAAACAAAATAAAAACAAAACAAAAAAGGTAAGGAAAAAATATATATGTGAAGGATAAGAAAACTGGGCGCTTTTAATGCTAACTTGTAAAGTCCTTGTATGATTAATTTGAATTCTGTAGTTTAACCCAGGGTCAAGTAATGAAGAGTATATTGTATCAGACACCAGCTTCTTTAGTTTTTTTTAGAGTTTGAAAAGAATCACACAGAGAAAAATCTTCTCAGTGTTCTTAGTTTCTAAGAATGGTCTGGGTTGTGAGCGTTGTCTTCTCCAGAGGAAGTGTAATCTTGTAGCTGTGGGCGACACTGAACTGTGTCTTCTCAGCCGCCTGGGATGATGGGATTTGTATGTGCATGCATATTCAGTCACTAGACCTGCTGTCTGCTTCTTCATAACTGTGCTCTCGTTGTCAAAAACACTCCCCCCCCCCCCAGGGTTTCTCTGTTTAACAGCCCTGGCTATTCTGCAACTTGTAGGCCAGGCTGGTCTCAAACTCACAGAGATCCACCTGCCTTCCCCTCCCAAGTGCTGCGATTAAAGGCGTGCACCACCACTGCCTGGCTCCTCAAAAACAATTCTTTAAAACTGTTTTGTTACTTTTATGTATGTGTATGTGTATGTGTGTGAGGTTCTGTGCCCCACATGCATGCAAGTACCTGCAGAGACCAGAAGGCATCAGACCCCCAAATAGATGGTTGTTACAGGTGGTTGTGAGCCACTTAATGTGGGTGATGGGACCTGAACCCAGGTCCTTGCAAGAGCAGGAAGTGCTGTAACCACTCAGCCATCTCTTTAGCCCCTTTATCAAAAATTTTACTTGTTTATTTTTGCATCATTTTTGGTTACATTCTGAGGATTAATATTACTTATAGCTGGGCGGTGGTGGCGCACGCCTTTAATCCCAGCACTCGGGAGGCAGAGGCAGGCAGATCTTTGTGAGTTCGAGGCCAGCCTGGGCTATCAAGAGAGCTCCAGGAAAGGCGCAAAGCTACGCAGAGAAACCCTGTCTCGAAAAAAACCAAAAAAAAAAAATAAATAAAAAATAAAAAATTACTTTACA